AAGAAGAAGAAGAAGAAGAAGAAGAAGAAGAAGAAGAAGAAGAAGAAAAGGAGGGAGAGAGGAGAGGAGGGAGAGAGGAGAGAGGAGGGAATGAGAGAGAGAAAGAGAGGAGAGAGACAGAGAGGAGAGGAGAGAGACAGAGAGAGAGAGAGGAGTGGGGAGACATGAAAGAGAGAGAAGAGAAACAGGGTGGGGATTGATATGGGGAAGAGAGGGAGGAGGGAGGGAGAGGAGACAGAGACAGGTAAGGGAGAAAGAACCCACGTGCTCACCATTACTAGCCTCTTTAGAGAGACCAGGGAGAGTGGTTTTTATTTCGAAATCCCTAAGAGAGCCTCGTGCCCCCAATCTGTCAATATTTGAGGGGTGATAGATAAATAGAATTCTGTCACATAGAGATAGGAGCCAGGAAGAATAAGTGTCCAGCACACAGCCCCTCTTTGCTCTCCACCAGGGAGGAAATCACAGCCTCCCTTGGAGATGGGGTGAGCCAGATTCCCAGAGCAGATATAACGAATTCCCATTCTACTCACCACAGTGGCTCTTCGAAACCTTTTCATCTCCTACTCAAGTCTCCCATGGCACCCCCTCCCCCCACCCTTTCAGCTGAGAACCTCGCCTCATATTTCGCTGAAAAAATTGAGGCCATTCACTGAAGGCTCCCTCCTCCTCCTCTCACTTCACTCAGCTATCTTCCCACACTATCTCCTTCACCTTTGTCTCACATAATGAGGTAACCCTCATCCCTGCCAAGGCAAACCCCTCTGCAGGCTTCCTTGCTCCCATTCTACCCTGTCCTCTCCAACAGATTGCCCCCTCTATCATCCCCACTCTCACTAACCTTCAATCTCTCCCTATTTACTGGCTGCTTCTCTGCTGCCATCCGTGTCTCCCTCATCCTTAAAAAGAAGAAGAAAATCCCTCACTTGATCCAACCAGCCAAGCCAGCTATTATCCCATCTCTCCTTCACTTTGTAGCTGAACTCCTTGAGAAAGCCATCTACACTGAGTGCTTTTACTTCCTGTCCCAATTCATTTCCCAGAACTCTGTGATCTAGCTTCCAACCTCATCATTCAACTGAAATTATTCTTTACAAAGTTACCGGTGATCTCTGAATTCCCCAATTGTTGACCTTTTCTAAATCCCCATCCTTCCTAACGTCTCTGCAGCCTTTGCTACTTTCAATCACCATCCTATCCTTGATGACTTCTCCCCAGGTTTTTGTGTTACTTTTCTCTCCTGGTTCTCATCCTACTTCTCTGATCACTCCTCAGACTCCTTTTTGGGGTCCCCCGGGCTCTGACCTGGGCCCTCTTTGTCCTCTGTACTATCCCATCTGGTGATCTCATCAGCTCCTAGGATTCATTCTCCATGCAGATGATTCCAGATCTACGTATCCAGCCCTAACCCCTCTCCTGACCTCTAGTCTCACATCACCAACTGCCTTTGGGATGTCTCAAACTGGATGTTAAACAGCTGGAACTCAACATGTCCAAAACAGAACTCACTCTTGTCTTCCCTTCTTCCAAACCTCCCCACAGTCCTCCCCATCACCCAAGCCACAACCTATGGGTCATTTTTGACTCCTCACACACTCCCCTCCCAGATCCAAGCTGTTGCCAACTACATCTTATCTGTGTTCACATTCTCTCTCCTTTATGTCTCTCCTTCTCTGTACTCAGCCAGATGCCTCCTCATCACCTCACATCTGGACTAATGCAGTAGCTGCTGACTGGTCTTCCTGCCTCCAATCCATCCTCCACTGAGCTGCCAAAGTGACCGGAACATGTCACCCCCCCACCCCCACCCCTTACTCAGTGAACTCCAGTGGCTTCCTATTACCTCCAGAATCACATATAAAATCTTCTATTTGACATTCAAAGTCCTTCAGGACCTAACCCACCCCCCTCCACTTTTCCAATGTCCTTTCACCTTATTACCCAATCTACAATCCAGCACACAGCGACCTTTATGTGCTTCTTCACACACGGCATTCCATCTGCCAGGGGCCTATTCTCTAACTACCTCCCAAGCTGGATGCCCTCCTCTTAACCCAGGCCTCTTGACTTCCTTCTTCTGCTGGAAGAGGCCTTTCCAGTCTCCCCAGAAGCCTTCCCTCTGACAATCCCAGTCATACTGTCTCCCCATTAGAAGGTGAGCTCCTTAAGGGCAGAGACTGCTTTTAATAGTATGTTTAATAAGTGTTTGTGGGCTGGCTGACTTCACAATAAATCCTCATAAGTAATTCTCTGTGAACAGTATTTTCCAGTAATCTGTAAGCTCCCTGAGGGAAGGACATGCATTTTTTTGTGTCTGAATCTTCACAGTCTAGCACAATGCCAGGTACATAATAGGCATTTATTAATTTTTCTTTAAATTGAATCAGGCCTCACAAAGTGAGCTCACAACAGGTAGACAGAAGATGGAGAATGAGCAGATCATTAGGGAGACATCTAAGATCTCAGAGCAAGAGTGGACCCCACCCAAAAGTCATCTAGTCCAATCTCTTCCACTAAGCCACAAACACCAGTAAGAGTTGTCCAGACTCTGCTTGAGGGCCTCCAGTGACTGGGAGCTCATATACCTGGGGGTGGCAGTTGGGGTGGACAGAGCCAGGCAACCCACTCCACTTTGGGGGCTCTAGCCATTAGGAAGTATTCCCTCACCTTGAGCTGAGCTCTTTTTAATTGCGCCTTCTCTCCTTTCCCCTCCTGGTCCAACCTTCTGGGGGCCAACCAGGACACACCTAATCCCTCTTCCTGGTAATAACAGCTCAGGTTTCCACATCACTTGAAGGTATGCAATGCATCCTCCTCCCAAAAACCCCAACTAGCCATTAAGAATTATTATTTCCATTTTCGAGATGAGGAAACTGAGGATCTGAGAGGTCATTTGACTGGCCCATGATCCCACAGCTACTGAATGTCTGAGGCAGGGTTTTAACCCACCTGTCCTTGTTCAAAACCCAGTGCTTCATCCCCTAAGCCTTTCATGAAGGTGTCTTGTCTCCCATGATTGCAGAACAGCTGTGTGATTGTAGGTCAGTTCTCTCCCACCCTCAGTTTCTCGGAGCTAAATGAAGATTTTTTTTTTTTTTTAAAAAAACCCTACCTACCCCCAGAGAGATGAGAAAAGTACTACATAAACTTCCAAGTACTCTAAATGTGGGACTTTCTCCACCTGTCCATGAATTACTCTGAGTTGCCTGAATCTCAGACAGGTTAAGTAGAATTTGATCTCAGCTCTTCTTTACCTCAAGCCCAGCATTTTATCGACTGTGTTGAGCTGCCCCTGAAAAGTCGTTTACATTTTCAGAGTTTGGAGCTGCAAGGGAACTAGATAGTACCATCCAGATCGGCCTCTTCATTTTATACATGAGGAAACTGAGACCCACAGGAGTTAAGGGATCTGCCCAAGGTCGCACGGGTAGTACCGGATCTGAGAATCGTTATCTGATTTGAAGTCCGACACTCCTGGAGAAGCTAGCGTTATCTTTACAGGAGAGAGGGCGATATAGCCAGAGGGCTGAGGCTAGGGGAGCATCTCCCGACTCATGCCCCCTCCCCTCCCCCGCTGCCCCTGGCCAGAGACTCCAGCTCTAACAGTCTATTCATCCACCCCACCCTGGCTCCCCACCCCCACCTTCACCCCCAGAGTCCTACAAAGTGGCCTTCCCTGCGGCTGCCCGGAGCATAGAAGAGGTCATCAAGGAGCTGAGCAAAGGTAGGACCTCTGCACCTCCTCCCCAAGGCCAGCTCCCAGAGACCCCAAGCATCCTGAAGCCCCGCCCCCTCCCTCCGTGGCACTCGGAGTTACCTGGCCCCCCCCGCCAAGAAATGTTACATTACCTGGCCCCACCCCCTCTTTGGAATGCTGGACTATCAGGCCCCGCCCCACCACCTACTGTTGCATTATCTGGCCCCGCCCTCTCTATGAAATTACTGCATTACCCGGCCCTTTCCTCTCCACGGATTGCGGGACTATCATGCCTGCATCCTACACAGAATGCTAAATTACCCCGACCCGCCCCGCCCCCTTCGAGAAGCCCTGGAGGAGAGGGAGGGAGGGGAGTGTTTTCATTCCCACCCGACCCCCGCCCCCTGCCCGCCCTCCCCCATAATGATGAGTGGGGGAGGAGGCTGATTTGGGCTCTCCGCACTCTCTTCTCAGCCCCCGCCTGCGTGCCGCCCTGCGGTAAGCCCCAGAGGAACCCGCCCAGCTGGATGGAACCGACCAATGGGAGGGGTGGGGGCGGGGTTAGATTTTTTTTTTTTTTTTTTTTTTTTTAATAATTCATCCGAGAGTGAGAGGAAGAGGTCGGGTGCAGTTCTATGACGTCTCCCCAACCATGAAGGGCGGAGCCTGGCCCTAAGTGGCCAATAGGAAGGCGGAGGGTTGGGACTGCGCCTGGATTGGGCCAATGAGAACGGTGGAGGGAAGGAGGCGGACCCCGGACCTTTAGGGCGGGAGCTCTGGGCCTAGCAGCATCCTCTCTGCTACCCCCCCCCCGCCCCCAAGGGTTCCAGGAGGTGGCCCGACTCTTCTTCTGCAATTCCTGCGCTGCCCATGACTGTGACCTTCCGCTGGAGTGCCCGAGTAGGGGGCGGGGCCATGGCTGCCACCTTGGAAGGGGCGGGATCTGGAGAGCGTGATGAGGGCGGGGCTAAGAGAACTCCCGTAGGGGTGGAGCCAGAGGGGGCGTGGGCCCCGGAGTTTTTTTAATGGGCTCAGAGCCCGGGGATTCCATGGGGGCGGGGCTCGAAGACCAGGGTTCGAGAGCATCTTTACGGAGACGGGGGGAGGGGAGCGGCATGGAGAATTCCAAGTGGGTGGGCTGGGTTTTTAGCAGACCCTGACCCCCTCCCCAGTCCGGGACTTGCTGGTGCCTGTAGGAGGCCAGGCTGCCTTCTCGTGCTCCACGTCTTTCTCCACTCCCTCGGAGCTGACCTATACCTGGCTGTTTGCGGGCAATGTGAGTGTCTCCGAGTGTAACCGGGAGGGAGAGGGGGCATATCTGACCCTGACTCGAACCTCCAGCTGAGGCCTTTCACTTCCTAATTCCTGGAAAAAGTTCTTCCTGCTTCCTCTTTCCCTCTTCTCATTCGGGTCTCAACACTTTGCAATCTCTGCCCCCCCTTCTCCATTCCTTCATCCCCCTTCCCCCACCTAACCTCCATTTATCTCCATACCTTCATTGCCAACCCAGTCCTCCTTCCTCTGTTTCTGGTACCACTCCATCCCCATCCTTGTCTCCATCCCTTCATCCCCTATCTCTCCATCTGTCTATCCCCCTAACCTTCCTTCCATCCTTGCTTCCATCCCTTTATCCCCATCCCTCCATCTGTCCACTCCCCTAATCTTCCTTCCATCCCTCCCATTCCCGTCCTTACCTCCTTCCCCATTCCCTCCTAAAGCTGCCTTTCCCCCTCTCCCTCGATGCCTCTATCCGTGTTTCTGCCTCGCGTGTTACCGACTTTGTCTCCCAGTGTTTCTCTGTCTCTACCCAGGCCCCTGTCTCTTGGCGTTTCTTGGTCTCATGGCCCCCTCTTCCTTTCCCACCCCTAGATCCGGACCAGGGACCTCTCCTACTTCCGCGTGATGCCTCGAGCACGAGATGTGTTTGCTCGGATTCGGCCTGTTCGGCCCCCGCACCGCGGGACTTTCTCCTGCCTGCTTAGTTCTGACGAGCAACCCTTGGCCCGGTTGTTCTTCTTCCTAAATGGTGAGGCCGAGCCTGAGCTGGGGCCGCTGCAGGGCTGGGACGGGTGGGGAGGGCAGGGTTCTGGAGGTGGAAAATGAGGACGCAGTGGGAAGGCTAGAAGAACAGGCTCGCGCCCCGCCTCTGCGCCTCGCGTGTCCCCAGTGACTGCAGGGAAAGCGCAGCATGAAACAGAGCTGCAGACCTTGTTCCGGGCGGTGCTGAAGGCAAAGCGCTCCAAGGCCGACTGTCCAGAACCCTGGCGGCCAAGCTTCTCCACGCTGCTGGCCCACCCCGGGGCGCTGACGCCGGGAAACCTATGTCTGCTAGGGCTGGCAGCTGGCCTGGGCACCACGGGCTTCGTCCTGCTGGGGATGTGAGTGACACCCTCCCCGAGGACCCGGGAGGCTGGATCCCCCAGCCCCACCTCACCAGGGACTGGTCAGGCACCTGGAGCTCCTGTCATATCCACTGGGATCTAGGCATCCTTATTTCACACACACACACTCACACAGCATCCTAAGGGACCTAGGCTTCTTTCCCGACCCTCTGAGGCCCAAACTGGATCTGGTAAACTCCTGCCCTCTGCCGGTGGGTTAAGACCTCTTTTCTCCCTGCCTCACTCCCCAGGTTGCTGTACCGCTATTCGGAAGAAAGCTAAAGGGCCCGCCCTCTCCATCCCCTAGCCTCCATCACCCCAATAAAGATATTTTAGGCAGTCTAGGTTCTAGGTCCAAAGTTCCAGTGGGCCAGCCCAAGGATAAGGCACCTACAATGTACTAGGGGAGGGGGAGGTCTGGAATGCCCCCATTAGAGTGTAAGCCCCCCCCCCCGAGGGCAGAGACTGTTTTTTGCCTTAGTATCCCTAGCCCTCAGCTTTGTGGCTGGCATGTAGTAGGAGGTTAATAAATACTACTTGACTGATGACGGTTCCCAAAGCCTTTCCTTCTGGAGCCCACCGGTCAAAGCCCTACCACCATCACGGACCATCATGAAAAGAAAGTCTGCAGAGATTGAAACACACACACACACACACACAACTCTTCGAACACACAAATCTTAAGACAGCTCTGGAAGTCCTTCCTAGGCTAGCCGATCCTCCCCCAAGTGCAGCCGCTCCAGGAAACTCTCACCCTTTATAAAATCAGATTTAGAGCCGGAAGGGATCTCCCAGGTCATCTAATCTCGTCCAGATAGGGAAACTGAGGCCCAGAGGTAGTAAGTGACAGAGAGCACATATGAGCCCAGCTCTGGACACTCAGCACATACTGCTTCCAAGTTTAAAGCGTAGAGGAAAGATTTCGGAGGCTTCCAGAAACCTAAGTGACTTGGGGCGAATCTTTTCCCATCTGTTGGCCTCTCTTTCCGCTATAAAATGAGCAGGTTGGGCTACAGCATCTCTAAGTGTCTTCCCGGTTCTGACTGTCTGGGCTTCTCAGACCGCAGACCTCTACCCTTCTATTCCGCTGCCGCCTGCAAAGAGTTAATTCAATCTCCGCGGGGAGAAGCTAGGAGACCCGATTGCGCAAGCGCAGCGGTGGATCTGTACTAGCGACCGGGTGGAAGCGAGACTAAGGAAGGGGCTCGGGCAGTGGAAGAGAGCAAAGCCAGGAGCTTCCCTCTCCGCGCACCCGCAGTTCGTGCTAAGGTTAACCCTTTGCCTTCACCGAGGGCCAGAGAGTGAGCATTCGGGGGTCCTGTCTTCTGGATCCGTGAGGAGAATTCTTAATCCTGAGATTGACACAGGGTCTTGAATGGAGATACAGATAGGCTAAGTGAGAGACATAGATTCAGGGAGAGGCGAAGCAATGAGAACCCCAAAGGCTGCTGGCCATTTTGGGGGTGGGGGAATGCCACGGAAAGGATGCTGCATTTGGAGCCAGTGGACCGTGGTTCGAATTCAGCTCTCCCATTTGCTATCTGTGATCTCAAGCAAGGTTTTCATCCTTTCAGGGTCTCAGATTTCTGGCCTGAAAAATGAGAGGTTGGGCTAGGTGACTTCCAAGGTCCCTCTCCTCCAGCTCTGTAAATCCATTCTAAGGTCACCTCTCTCCCTGCTTGGATGATCCTATGGGCTTCGGAACTCTTACTTTGCCTGCATTGTTCGAGGAACCTCCTCACTTGGAACTCGCCAGCCCAGTAAAATCCCAGGTCCAGAAATCACTTTCCAAATGGGGAAACTGAAGCCAAGAGAGGGAAATTAGCATGCCACGAGGAGTAAGCGACAGGGAGGGGATTTGAACCCATGTCTTCTTACAAAGAGGCCTATCTAGATTTGACGTCAGGCAGTTACAGCAGCCTCAAAGTGGATGGCCTGCTTCAGGAGGAGGTCGTGGGTGCCACCAATCTCCAGCGGGTTGGATAACCAATTATTGGCTATTTTACAGTAAGGATTTGGGGGAGGGGCAGGGATGGTGGGGCCTGAACCAGAGTGCCATGGAGGTCCTTTCCTCCTCTGAAAGTCTGAGATCCTGCAATTCCGTATCTAGTATCTTTTCCAATGACCTCCAGTGCCTCTGGAGCTGATGACCCGACACATTCTTCTAGCTGGAGGAATTCAGGGGAGACAGCAGAGGACTGAGCAATTTGACCCTCCCTCAGATTTACTGGAAGTTCCCCTCGGTAAAACAAAGTGTTTTCATCCCTCAGCCCCGCCCTCCTCTGGTAGCCAAACGTCCAGACTCTCCACCACTCCTTCAGAGACCCAGGAGTCCTAATGCCCCAGGCCCCGCCCTTCAGGGAACTACCACGTCAACCAATCAACGACTGCAGATCAGGTCGGAAAATAAATAAAACTCTTTATTGCTCTTTGGGTGAACGAGAATTAAATAAGATCAGAGTCAGAGGCCGCCGTGGCCTCTTCACCCCCTACGGACAGAAGACGCCCCTCCCGCCCAATAAATACCCCTTCCCCTCACGACACAGGAGTCCCCAGCCCAGCCTAGCCCCGAGCAGCGAATCAAACTACAATTCCCATGGGGGGGCTGCACGAGGTCAACAGCAAGGCTTGCTGGGAATTGTAGTGTTCACTTCCAGAGTGAGAACATTGGGGAACGTAGGGAGACCCTGGGAGCACCCTGTCCATCTCTGACACATCCCAAGGGGCCAGAGCTCTATGAAGAGAATTTAAATACACACCATAGCTGGAAAGAACCCTAGGAGAGTGTCCAGGTTAAGTCTCACCCTTACCCTCCATTTTACATCTAACACCTAAAATCACAAAGGAAAGCCAAGAGCCAATCCCTGAGCTGTACGCTACCCCATGCCCAAAGTTTGTCTAGAGGAGAAAGCTGAGGCCTGGGAGGGCAAGTGCCCTTCCCAAAGTCGCACAGCTAGTCAGGCGGCGAGGCCGAGAGACTGACCCAAGGGTGTCAGCACCCAGCTGCCTGGTGGATGAAAGAAGATTCAAAGGATCATAGTGCTGGGAGGGCCCTCGGAGATCTAGTCTGGGTCCTACACCTTCCCACGTGAAGAGTTGAGTCCAGACTCCTTCATATGAGGAATCAGAGGTCAGGAGACTGGAAATGATTCGTCCAAGGTCACCTAAGTAGTAGCAAGAAGCAGGCCAGGTCACAGGATCTTAGGCTTAGACTTAGAGGTCCCCTGGTCTGACGTGCTCATTTTACAGATGAGAAAACTGAGGCCCATCGAGGTAAAGTGTCATGCCCATAGTCCCCCAGAGAGTGATCGAGCTACGACCGAACATAAGTCCTCGTAGTTCCTATCTCGCGGCCACCACGGGACTGCCTCCCTGAGGACAGTCACACGGACACCTGGTAGCCCCCAGACCTGGGCCGGCAGAGCCTGCGGACTCCCCCCCAATAAAGAGCCAGCATGAGCGCCCAATAGGCCACGTAGGCGGCTGCTCCCACAGCGAGGTAGCTCGCCTCGGTGCTGCGCGCCTCGCTGGTCCAGTCTGCTTGGGCCTCGTGGATTATGCTGCGCAGCAGGCCCCCGAGCAGCAGCGCGGCCCAGATAGCCAGCGGCAGGGCCGGCGCGTAGTTGGCGGCCAGGCGCCGGCGGCCCGAAGTGCCCCAGCCGCTCTGGTTCATGGTGAGCAGCGCCAGGAACTTGGCAGGCAGGAGACCGCCCATGTAGAGGGGCGCGTAGAGCGAGAGAAGCAGCATGCGTGGCGAGCCCCGCAGCCACGCAGCGAAGGCCGCCTTGGCCGCCGCCACGCCCTGCACGCACAGAAGCACCCAGAGCAGGGCCCACGGCGAGCCCGCGTAGAAGAGGCGCAGCACCGTGGCCGCCACGAAGAACGGAAAGAGGCCGGACACCACGGCCTCGTAGGTCATCCACGCGTGGTGCCGGTGCCACCACAGGGCGTTGTATAGCCACTCGCGGAAATACGACTTGGACCAGCGTGTCTGCTGGCTCAGCCAACGCAGGAAAGACGCCGGCGTCTCCGAGTAGCAGCGGGACAGCGACGTGTACCTGGAGGGACAGAGGAGGGGTCACGAGGCATAGGGCTGGAAGGGGCCCGAGGCCTCCCCATGCATGGCACAGGGACAGAACTCCCTCTATCAGTGTAGCTTGGCAAACTACCCGGTGAGGAAACTGCCTACCAATGCGGACAGCACCTTATAGTCTTAGAGAGGCGCCTAGAGCATTGAGACATTAAGTGTCTTGCCCAGGGTCACGCAGCCAGGATGTGTCCCAAGTGGGTCTTCCTGGCTCTGAGGCCAGCACTTTATCCACCATGCTACTGCTGCCTCTCTGCCTACCTCATCTAGTCCAAGCCATAAAAGAAAGGAATCCACTTTATAACCTGTGGGGAAACTGAGATACTGAGAAGTCTAAGGTCTTACCCAAAGGCGTGGCAGGTAAGTAGGTGCGGATCCAGGATCTGAACCCAATAATAGCATTTGTGTAGTGCCAGCTGTATGCTCTGCACTAAGGTTTACAAACATCCCATTTGATCCACACAATAACCATCCTCATTTTGTTGGTTTGAACAGGTAAATAGACTGGTCAAAGGAAACATGGTATAATAGACAGAAAGCTGACTTGGAGCCGGGAAGACCTGAATTCAAATCCACCTCTGACAGTGTCTGTGTGACCCTGGACAAGTCCCTTAACCTCTCAGTGCTCTAAGCAACTCTAAGACTATAAGTTGCAGCAAGGATGCCAACCTGCCCATGGATTGAGGTACTTTCCTCCCCTGGAAGTCCCTATAATAATAAAATCACAAGTCCAGCCCTTGTCTCTATCCCCATCTCAACTAGACTGATAGAACACGAATTGCTTTATTCTATAAACCTTTGACAAGGACTATGAACAAGACGTAAAAGAGAGAAAAGACTGGCCACTGTCATGCGGTACATCCCATACAAGGCCCAAATGGAAGAGGGATTTCCTATGGATGGTGAAGTCCTGTAGAGGTTCCTATTTATGGATGACATGGGGCATCAAGGCCCAGAACAGTAATGTGAAAATGAGCTGGATGGAAAACCCATGGAGCTGGTCCATCAGTCTACACATGCTACTGACATTGCACAGGGACACAGAGCTGCGGCTAAAATTGACCAGGAGGAGGCCACTGGGACACATTGCCTTTGAGATTAGTACATTCTGATGATCTCTCAAACTTTGCCCTGATACAACATCCCATCTATTAGATCTCGTATTTTTTAAGTGATTCCCTGTGGCTTCAGAGAATTAAAGTTGTGGGTCCCACAGAGGGGAAGGCTTGATTTAGAAGGGAACGTGTCACAGAACATTATCCACTCAATAATTGAGAAGTGTCATTAAAGATGAAAAGATCCCATTGGGCATAAGCGTGAACAGAAGAACATGGACCAGTCAGGTAATGAGATCAAAAGAAAGCCCCCATAATCCAGCAGCATCCGTGCAAAGCAGAGCAATCTAGAAAGAGACCCTCAGTATGTTGAGTGGTACCCCTTGTGGACAGTTTATGGGAGAACATGAATAAGTGTCCCACAGAATGAGAAGTCGAGACTGGGTCAGGACTTGTGTCGCTGGGTACACCGAGTTATCAAAGCTGCTAGGAGGTGCAGTGTATAGACTGCCAGACTTGGACTTACTAGCTATGGGACTTTGGACTGTGCCTCAGTTTCTTGATCTGTAAAATGGGGCTGAAAATAACACCCACATCCCAGGGTTGTTATGAGGGTCAAATATTTGTACAAAGTGCTTTGCAAACCTAAAAGCATTATATAAATGTTGTTATTATTTTTATTATCCGAGCTCCAAAGCAAGACTGGGGGATGCTGTGGATCTAGTTTACTTAGATTTAGAAGAGCATTTGACAAAATCTTTCATATTATGGAAAAGGTGGAGAGACATAGGCTAGTTGAAAATATGATTAAGTGGATTAAAAATTTGGTTGAATGGTGCAACCCAATATTAATGATTTAATGTCAGCTTGGAAAAGGGTCTCTACTCCAGTGCCCCAGGCATCTGACTTTGGGCTTATGCTGTTTTACATTTTTACCAATGCTTTGGATAAAGGTGATAATAAATGATAATAACAGCACCTGTCATGTGTGTAACACTTAAGGGTTTGTAAGCACTACGTAAATATCTCATTTTATCCTGAGAACAACCCTGGGATAGAGATGCTATCATTATCCTCACTGGCAGACAAGGTTAAGTGATTTGTCCACGGTCACCAAGGTGGTAAGTTTCTGAGCATGGGTGGAGGGCATGTTTTTCGAATTTGCAAATGACATTTGTGTCATTTGGAGGGAAGAGCTAGCTTGGTGGATGGCAGAGTTGGGGTTGAAGATCTGTACAGGCTAGAATAATGGGCCATATCTAATAAGATGGAATTTCATAGTATTAGACCCTCCCAAGTATGAGATGAGGATGATGTAGCCAGACCATATTTCATCCAAAAAGATTTGAGTGTTTTAATGGACTGCAAGCATACTGTGAGTCACCTCTGTAATGGAGCCCCAAAGAAAGCTGATGGGATCTCCAAATGAAGTGAGAAAGGCAGAGTGTGAAAGACTGGGGGGGAGGGGTCTTGCCATACCCTGTCTCGGTCAGACCACATCTGAGGTATTGTATCTTGCTTGGGCCACCTCTTTTAGGAAGAACCTTCACAATGTCTAGGGAGAAGGTCCAAGGGAGAAGGACCAGGATGGTGAAAAGTCTTGAGACCATGGCATATAAAGGATCTAGAGGTGTTTAACCTGGAGAAAGATTGGGGCAAGAGGGGCTGGGGAGAAGACATGAAAGCTGACTCCAAGTTCTTTAAAAGCCCATCATATGGAATAGAAATTAGACTGTTCTACTTGGCTCCAAAGGACAGAGGGAAGATCAAGGGATGGACAGGCAGAAAATAAAGAGAGACAAATACTACTTAGTCTCTCAGTACATCAGCTACCTCATACATAGAATGGGGTTAATGTTATTTGCTCTCCCTGCCTCACAAGAGTGTGTTGAGGAAAGACTTTTATAACCCTTACATCTCTTAGGATATGAGATGTTTTGCTGAGTTATTATTATGTCACTTGGTATAGCCCACCTTCTCGTCTCACCTACGTCACCAGACCGTATTACCCTCTCCACCCCCAATACAGTCATTTGGTAAAGCACATGATGCCTTGTGAACATTGGTATAATCCATTACTCATTTGTCATTTTCTACAGCCTCGCTAATTTAGCAGTACACTTAATGGAGTTCATTCATTTCCCTCCCTGGTCACTTAATACGTACTGCTCCTCAGCAGCATGTAATATACCACACTGATTTACCCACCCCTCTTCTCTAAACCAGGTATATTCCCCAGTTTCCCCCTTACTTGGTTGCATAGCCCATACTGAGCATTCGGTTGGTGAGATGGCGGTCATCCCCAAAAGTGCAGTGGGTGCCCAGGAACTTCTGGTTGTACCAGGCCTCCAGGAACTGCTGCAACAAGTCATTCCTATACAGACCTACCAGATGCAGAGAGACCTCTGTAAGCACCGGAGTGCAGCCCATTTCCCAGCCCAGTCCCCGGCCCATCCCTACCTCCATACCTCCCCCCAATCACCAATTTCCCATCTCCACCCTCATCTCTATCCCTATCCCCAGATCCAGTGCCATGTCATCCCCATGGACAACCCAATCCCCAGCCCATCCCCCTCCTCAACATTATCTCAACCGTCCCCATCACCATCACTGATATCATCTCCATCCTCCCCACTTTAATCTCTGTCCTCCTCCCCATCTCTATCCCAATTCTATCCCCATCACTATCATCTCTGTTCCTATTCCCATCTCCATCGCTGTAGCCAAAATCATCTCTAGCCCTTTCAAAAGCATTATTGCCCTCCCTAGCTCCATCTTCATCAACATCCCTATCCTTATTCTTCCCATTTTTATCCAGTCCGCTTAACCATGATTATCCCATCCTTATTCTCATCTCTATCTATATCCCTATTCCCATCCCTATTTCCATCCTATCCCCATGCTCATTACTCTTCCTAACCCTATCCTCCCCTCACCCCCAACCTTATCCCAAGTCCCACCTTCAACTCCAACGCCAAACTTTTCCCTCTATTCATCTCCACCCTCATCGCTACCTCCACCCTTGCCCCTCACCCTCATCGTGCCTCCTCCATTAGTCTCTCTGTCCCCATCCCTATGCTCCCATCCATACCTACCCTCAACCTGACCCTATCCCATCTCCATCTCCATCCCAGTCTTGATCTGTCTCTTTATCCCTTTCTCTTCAACCTCTAGTCCTCAACGGCACCTGCCTGAACTCACCAAGAGGGCCACTGACACAAGACACGCATCGGAAGTAGCTCTGGCAGGCTCGCTCGACGTTGAAGGCCACCCAGTACCTGAGGCTGCTCAGGAAGCTGACCCAGGAGTCCAGAGGATTGAGAATCCGCACATCCCCACCCACAGCTCCAACAGTCACGTCCTCATCCAGCACTCGGGACAACTCCAGCAGGGCCATGGGATCCAGCCTCGTGTCTGAGTCACACACCTGCGGCCAAGACACAGGGTCAGGCCCTAGTGGCCAGGAGTCTGGCGGTTTGGAGGACCAGAGAAGGTGGCCTCCAGGCTCTGGGAAACTTAGCAACCTCATACAATGTTGGAGTCATCCCATCACCGCCAAACTCCCTCCCTTCCTTGGGACTTTGAACACATTGAGAAGCCCCCCTCAATTAGTCACTGAAGCAGGCTGTCTGCACTTTGAACCCAACCCCAGGGGAACCTTCCCTTTTTTAGGGGCTGGCAATCAGAGGTTGGGGGTGAGGGTTACGGGGCTGAGAGGTCAGAATTTTGGAAAATCAGAGTGTTAAAGGGGCCTGTGACTCTTTGGGGTCAGAGGGGATCAGGGTTCTGAAGGGATCAAAGAATGAGAGAAGTCCTAGGGTTAGAGGTTAGAAGTCTGAAGAGATTAGGGTCAGCAGGGTTTGGGGGTGAGCCAGGGCCTCTGCAGTTGCAGGGGTAGTCTCAGCGTCCCAGAGTTCTCAGTTTCCAGCAGCCCCTCACCTGCACGTAGTCCACTGAGTCCCCGAGGGCCTTGAAAGCCGTGTACATGACCTCTCGCTTGCCACCCCAGCGTTGAGCCACGCACACGCATCGGTGGCTCCTCACTAGGGCCTCCACGGTGAGCCGTCCTGGGTCCTCAGCCTCTACCTCTGCATAGCCACCGGCCTCCACCTCCCCAGCTTTGCCGCTGCCCCCAGACACTTGGGGGGCCCATGGCTGGTGATAATTTCCGTCCCACACATAGGTGGCAGGGTTCTCTGCTTCGAACACTTCCCGGAACATCTCCACCATGTACATGTCCTCCTCCCGGTTGCCATCCACAACCATCAGCACGCGGAGGCGCTCCCTTGGGTACTGCAGAGCCTGGGCCGACAGCAGGCACTGCCGCAGGTAGTCAGCGTCCTCTTGGTAGGCAGAGATGGTTAATGCCACCCTTCGGGAGCATTTTGGCTTCCCCTGGGCTGCCTGGGAGGCAACTTGCCGGTGCTCCAGGTAGGCAAAGAGGCTCTGGGCCACCAGGTGTGCAGAGAGAAAGGCTCCATAGAGGCCAAAGGCTAGGAGGCCATAATGGTCGGAGGCCAAGGGGACACCCACAGCATAGGCCCAAGTCATGACACCCAGGATCAGCAGGGCAAAAGCAATTGTCAGGAGCCGGCGAATGGGCCCAGACCAGGCACGGCGAGGGCCGGATTTGGGGGTGTCCTGCAACAGAGGAGAAGATCAAGAGTTATATTAGATCCCAGGGATCATCCGATCCTTCCCACTCCCAATTTCATTCAAGGAAACTGAGGTGCAGCCAGAAAGGGAAAGGGACCAGAGTGAGTAAGAGGTCAGTGCACCCCCGGAAAGTCCTGTAGTTTCGTCTGACTGTTGTGTGTCTCCTGTTTTCTCAGACAGGCTGTGAGCTTCCCGAGGCAAGGCCCCAGTCTCCTTCTTCCAGTCTGTCATCTCTCACCCTAGGCCAGAGAAACCAGACACAAAAGAGGGACCCAGGGAGAAAAGGGGGTAGACTGATTTTGGGCTCCTCTGGGCTCCAGGAGGCAGAAGCCTGGTCCCTGGTCATAAGTGAGCTCAGCATCCATCCATCTGTCTGCCTCAACCCAGGCTCAACCCAGCCTAACCTTCCCCCCACTTCCATATCTTCTCAATCCATTTGGCTTTCCTGGCCTGTCTTTCTGTCTCCATGACATCTCATTTCTCCAGACATAGAGGGAAACCGAGGCACTGCCTCTCCTCCTCTCTTACCAGGCTGAGACATGTACACTCACTCACACTCAGACACACAGCCATTATTCCCACAGCGACATCGACAGCCCCCTTGACCCAGTTCAAATGTACCAAGATAACAGCACACACTCAGAAACCCATCTTCATACCCACCATCCGACTCATACAGAGCCTTAGATACAGAGACGGACACTCTGATACGTCCGCTGTCACACACACATGTTGTGTGGTAACACACTCATACAGACACACACATTCACAAACACACCTGTCCCATGTTCCTCGGGCTCCTCTCCCCTGCCCTTCCAGATCCTGTCTCTCTCTCTCTCCTTTGCCTCATCTGTTGAGGGGGGGGCATTTGTAGTTCGGGGCTGACGTCAGTACTGGGCTGGGCCCCGTAGGCCTGAGGTCATGGCAGGAGCGGCTGCCCCACCCGATTCCCGTTATTAGGCCACCACCCGAACCCCCTTCCCAGCCTCCACTTCTACGTCCCTGTCTCCAGGACCCCATCCTCTACTGCCGTGTCTGCTGCATATCTTCCTGTCTCTGGGGAGAAGGGAGGGTAGGAATGTGGAAAGAAATTCTCTAGCCACTTCCTAACCTTCTAGCCTTCCCTCACCAGGCATCTCTCCTCATCTTCCCCCATATCCCATCTCTCCCTATGTCCCCACATCTTCTTCCATCTCCCCATCTCTCCCTCCCCCCATATCCCACCTCTCCCTATATCCCCACATCTTCCTCTATCTCCCCATCTCTCTTTCCCCCCATATTTCCCATCTGTCCGCACGTCCCCACATCTTTCTCTATCTCCCCATCTCTCCTTCCCCCATATTTGCCATCTCTCCTTGTCTTCCAACATCATTCCTCACCTCCCCATCTTTCTGTCTCCTCACATGTTTTGTATCCCTCCCTGTCTCCCCACATCTTCCCCATATCTCCCTTTTTCCACATCTTTCCTATTTCTCCCCACATACCAATCTCCCCAGCTCTATTCATCTCTTAATCTGCTTCCAGCTCTCCCCAATTCTTTCCCTCTTTCTCCTCATTTCCTCCCCTTCTCCTCATCTCTTTCATCTCTTTTTATCTCTCCTTCTACCAATGCTCCCTCTAACTCTCTACCCATGCCTTCTCTGGTTCTCCCTCTCCCCTTTCCCTCCTACTCTTTTCCTTCCCTTCCCCTTCTCCAGGCAAACCCCCTCCCCTTTTAAGGATGACCAAAGTGCAGAATGATCTGAGGTTAGCAATGAATGCCAAGGACAGTTCAGAAAACTTTTTGAGCTCTACTGGAGGCAAGAGTGAAGTCAAGTCACCAAGCATTTGTTAAGCATTTGCTATGTGCCAAGCCCAGTGCTAAGAGAAAGACCAAAAGAAGATAAAAATACTCTTCATGGTGGATGTGACTAAGAAAACAAACAAACCATAGAGAGAAGGCAGAACTACTCAAACCTTTATGTTGCTTCTGTTTTCCTGACTAAGCAAAATGATCTTCAGATGGGTAAGGACAGAACAAAAATGGCCAACAGGGAGTGGAAATTCAAGATAGGGGAGGAAATGATAAGACAATAAATACCTCAATGCTCTCAGTGAACTCAAGTCATCAACCCTAAACAAACTAGATCTCCAGGTACAAGAAGAGCTGTTGTCTTTGATTACAGAGCCATTTTTGATGAAAGGTCATGGAGAATAGTGGGGGGAGAAGGGGAAGGAGGTGGCTTCTGCAGCACCAGATAAGAGTAAGGCCCTCAGGGCAGCTAGGTGGTGCAGTGGATAGAGCACCAGGACTGAAGTTAGGAGGACCTGAGTTCAAATCTGGCCTCAGACCAAACACTTGACACTTACTAGCTGTGTGACCCTGGGCAAGTCACTTAACCCCAATTGTCTCACAAAAAAAAAAAAGAGTAAGGCTCTCCTGATTTTTAGGAGCCAAACTATTATCAAAGGAGTGGTGAATAAGTTGAAGTAAATCCAGTAAGGATTTATGGAGTGCTCTCCGTCAGGCATGGTGCTAGCCATTCAGAACCCAAGGTAGAAAACAGAATGTCCAGTGCCCTAAAGGAATTTATCTTGGAATGAACACTTGGAAGGGAAAGCTATGCTGAAGAGGAGTCATTATGTGTTCATCAAGAACAAATCCCATCCGACTAGTCACATTCCTATATTTTTTTTTTGGACCTTGCTGATAGATCAGAGGAATGTCAGAGTATTTCATCTGGGCATTTGACAAAGTCTCTCATAGTCTTCTAGCAGATCAAATGACTAGATAATGGCTAGTACAGTTGAATTAATTCAAGATTAGCTAAATGACCAGACCCCTAAAGTTAATATATCTAAGTCAGTGTAAAAGGAGGTCTCTAGTGGAGTGCCACAGGGCACTTTGGCCCTGTGCTATTCAAAATTTTGATTAATAATGTGGATGAAGGCCCAAGTAGCATGCTTATTGATTTACAAATGACCCAAAGCTGAGAAGGATTCCTAAGTTGTAGGATAACAGAGTCAGGAAACCAAAAGGTGTTGAGAGACCTAAATGGTTGGAATTTAGTAAGAGGAATAAATGAGCTCCAAAAATTTGATGGTCCAAGTACAAGATGGCAGAGGCATGGCTAAATAAATGTACAGGGAAAGAATCTGGAGGTCCAAGTGGACTGCAAGCTTAATGGGAGCCAACAATGTGACAGGGCAGACATAAAGGTCCATGTGACCCTTAGCACACATTAAAAGGAGGACAGCCTCTAGGACTAGGAAGCTGATGTTGATTTCATTTCAGTGTGCTCAGGTCAAGTCATGTCTGCCGGAATGCATGCTACTCTGGGCGTCATGCCTTATGTCAAGAAGAGGGTGACAAAGAGATCAGAAAAAAGGGAGAAGCACAAAATATTTATAGTACAAAAGTACAAAAATCTTTATAGCCTCTCTTTTTGTGGTGGCAAAGAATTGAAAATTGAGGGGATGCCCATCAATTGGGGGATGGCTGAACAAGTTATAGTATATGAATGTAATGGAATACTGTTATGAGCAGGCTGACTTCAGAAAAACTTGGAAAGAGTTACATGAACTGATGCTGAGTGAAGTGAGCAGAACCAGGAGAACATTGTACACAGTAACAGCCACATTATGCGATGACTGACTTTGATAGACTTAGCTCTTCTCAGTAATGCAAGGATCTAAAACAACTCCAAAAGACTCATGATGGAAAATGCTGTCCATATCCTGAGAAAGAACTATGGAGTCTGAATGCAGATGGAAGCACACCGTTTGCTCTTTCTTTTGTTTTTTTTCTTTCTCATGGTTTTTCCCTTTTGTTCTGATTTTTCTTTCACAACATGACTGATGTGGAAATATGTTTAATATGATTGTGCATGTATAGCCTTCATCAGATTGCATGTCATCTTGGAGAGAGGGGTGGAGATGGAGGGAAATCTTATACAAGTGAATGTTGAAAACTAAAAATTAATTTAATTTAAAAAAAGAAGAAGACGAGGGTGACCAGGATAGGGAGAGGAGTAGAAGAAAGGACTTAACACCATCCAGTAGAACAAATAATGGGAATGTTTAACCTGGAGAAAAAGAAGACAATGGGGCAGCTAGGTGATGCAGTGGGTAGAGCTCCGACCTTGGAGTCAGGAGGACTTGAGTTCAAATCCGGCCTCAGCCACTTGATATTTACTAGCTGTGTGACCCTGAACAAGTCACTTAATCCTGATTGCCTCACTGAAAAAGAAAAAAGACAAGCATTTGCCCATACCTTTAAGTACTTGAAAGGTTGGTTTTTTGGGGGGCGGGAGACAGAGAGAGACACACAGACAGAGATAGAGAGACAGTAAGACACAGTGAGAGAGACAGAGACAGAGAGACAAAAAGACACAGAGATAGACAGAGACAGAGAGAGAAAGGGACACAGACACAGAGATAGACAGAAAGACAGAGCAAAAGAGACAGAGACAGACAGAGAGACAAAAAGACATAGAGACAGAGACAGAAAGAGAAAGGGACAGAGACAAAAAAAGAGATAGACAGAAAGACAGAGAGAGGAAAAGAAAGAGAGAGAGAAAGGAGGGACTGGGGGAGAGAAGAATTCAAAATGGAAGGAAATCCCAGAGAGGCGTTTTTTGTATTTTTTTTTTTAGGCAATTGCATTTCAGTGACTCGCCCAAGGTCACACAGCTAGTAAGTGTCAAATGTCTGATCTGAGGTCAAATTTGAACTCAGGTCCTCCTGACTTCAGGGCCGGTGCTCTATCTACTGCACCACCTGCCCCTGAGGCTCTCTTTTTGTGCAGTGTAGTAGTAGTAATAATAATAACAACAACTAGCATTTATGTGGTGGTTACTATGTGCTGGACACTACGCTAAGCATTTTACAATTATGATCTCATTTGATCCTCACAACAACATCCCTAGGAAATGGTGCTATTATTAACCTCATTTTACAGTTGAGGAAACTGAGGCAGACAAAGGTGATGTGACTTGTACAGGGTCACACATCCAGGAAATGTCTGAAACTGGATTTGAACTCAGGTCTTCCCCAGTGTAAAGAAAACTTCCTAACAATAAAGGAGAATAGGTCACCTTATTGCCTTACTTAATAGATAGTGAGCTCCCTGTCTGGGGCTCTTTGAGCAGGTAGATATTAGATGAACGCTAGTCAGGGACGTAGTAGAAGAAATTACTTCTCAGGCTTATTGAAACTAGACGAGGTCTGAAGTCGGTCCCAGTTATTGCAACTCTTCAGTTCTTTCTTTCCATCCCCTTTTTCCTAAGCTGGCCTTTGAAGGGAGGATGATCTGAGGGCTCAGGATGATGGGAGGAACAGGTACCACTGGGGCTGGGTTTGGAGCACCTGATGACACACGTGGATCCAGCAGGATAGAAGCTTCAGAGCTGGAAGGGACAGTAAAGATCATCCAGCCCCACCCCCTGATTTTACAGATGGAGAAACCGAGGCCTGTCGAGGCTGAGGGACTTGCTCTCCTCTTTCTCTCCTCTCTTCTCTGTCTCTGTCTCTCTGTCTCTCTCTCTGTCCCTCTGTCTGTCTGTCTGTCTGTCTGTCTCTCTCTCTCTCTCTCTCTCTCTCTCTCTCTCCACTGCATCCCCTTGCGTCTCCTCCATGTGACTCTGCTTGTAGAGTCTCTGAATCTCTCCTGGGCTGTTCCTGAGTCCCCTTATGTGGATTCTTTGACCTGCTTCAGGAAGTGGTAGATTCTGCCTCCTCAGAGGACTTCAGGAAAAGGCTGGACAACCCTTTGTCCAGTATCTCTTTCCTCATGGATACAGTGGCCCAGACTGCTGCTGACGCATCTCCGCCTCTGAGGTGCTGGGATTCTCTGGATTCCTTTGCTGCTCAGGAGACACAGAGAACAGAAAACAGGGTTCAAGACTAGGGTGGGGCTAGGGACCGAGGGATGGGAATCCCTGTGTCAGACAGTTTAGTCCATGGGTTTGAAGGAAAAATTCTTTTAAGTTTTGGATAGTATAATGGGAAGGCTACTGTTAACTGAGCTCCCCCCTCCACCATCCTCCCCAATCCTTCTGTGTCCTGTGATTTCTCTGGTCAAAAGGATAAGTCTATATTTCTTGTTGGGCCAGGAAAGGGAAAATCTAGGTCATACCCCAGGACCCAGGAGGGAATTCTGACAGCTACTGTAAGAGAGCAAGTCCAAGGCTGCAGGTTTATCAGAAAATGAAGGATCCCAGAAAATACTGCTGAGTAGGCTAACCACTTCCCACCTGGGGCCCACTCTGCAGGGTCTCACTCTGAGTGAGCGTCTACAGGTCTCTGTGAGTCCTTTGTGTGTTTCTGAGTGTCTCCGGTCACTGTTTCTCTGTGTCTCTGAGTCTGTGTCCCTGTATTTCTGAGCCTTTTTGTGTTTGTGTGTCTCTCTGAGTCTCTGTCTCTGTGTCTCTGTGGGTCTCCATGTCTCTGGATTTCTGAGCCTTTATGTGTCTCTGAGTGTCTGTTATATTTCTGCATCTCTGTGGATCTCTGGGAGTCTTTGTTTCTGAGTCTTTCTTGTGTCTCTGAATCTCTGGGTACCTCTGGGTCTCTGTGAGACACCGTATCTCTGTATTTCTGAGTTTTTGTGGGTCTCTGAGCTTGAATGTGTCCAAATCTCTGTTCTGATTCTGAGTCCCTGAGTATCTCTGGGTCTCTGGATATCTCTGGGTCTCTGAGTGTCTCTGGGTCTCTGAGTGTCTCTGAGTCTTTGTGTGTCTCTGGATCCCTGGGTGTCTCTGGGTCCCTGGGTGTCTCTGGGTCTCTGTCTGGCAGGGGCACTCAAGCTTTTTTGTGCCCTGGACCCCTTTGGCAGTGTGATGAAACCTAGCAGACCCTTCTCAGAATCAGGCTTTTAAATGAATAATTAAAATCCATAGCATACCCAAGGAAAGTCAAGATCGTTTAAATACAATTATCAAAATATTTTTAAAAACAAAAGCCAAGTTCCCAGGCCCCAGGTTAAGAATCATTGTTATGTATATGTGAGGCTTTGCTATCTGAGTCCTCATGTTTTTGAGTTTCTGTGTGTACTGGATTAGCAGGGATGTGGGGAGGCAGGGGCAAGGGGTGAAAGATGAAGGACTTGGCCGGGTGCAAGTGCTCCTTACCAGTCTCAGACATGAGCTCAGGGGTAGTTCAGACTCCCCTGGGAGCTCCTGAAGAGGCCCAACCCAGACTGGAAACTGAGTCACACTAGAAGGGAAATGACCAACTTCAGGGTCTACTGATGGCACTCAGGTGCCTGGTCCCCCATCTCCCTAGTCCATGACCCCGAGGACCTAGACTCCAAGTGAGTCATTCTCTCTCTCTCTCTCTCTCTCTCTCTCTCTCTCTCTCTCTCGGAGGGGAGGAGGAGTTGGGGGGGAGGAAGAACTCCTCTGAGCCTCCATCAAGCTCTTTTGTACTTTTGGGGGAGGGGGCAGATACTCCTATTCCAAGCTAGAAGTAGATGAGGCCAGAAGGCAATCATTCTCTCTTCTCTCCCCCCTCCCCATTCCCTCCTTCTTCCTCTTTTCGCCTTTCTCCCTTTCTCCCTCCTACATACTCCAGGGGCGGAGGCTAAACTGGGGCCAGGGCTGGGGCTGGAGCGTGTCAGGCTGTGTCAGTCAGGCGGAAGTTGACCCTGGAGCCAGGACCCAGGCGTCCAGTCACCCACTCAGCTTGCCCTGGGGTTGGCAGGGGGAGGGGGGAGGGGAGGAGGGGAAGAAGTGAGAGCCTGTGAATCAGGAGGGGGGAGGGGAGACAGAGCAGCTATATAAAACCAGATGTTTCTAAAACTGGAGCTCAGGACCAGCAGCCTACAGAGACCCAGGAATGTGGGCCCCCAGCCTCTGCCTTCCTAGGGTCCTCACACCCTTTGGGAATCCAGGCTACTGATTTCTTCCTCTATTCCTGAGATTCAAAAATCTTCTAAGATGGGACTGGGGTGGGAGATTCTGGGGTTGGGTCATAGCCATCCCCTCCCCTTGCCTTGGCATTAGGCTGTCTTGATCTCTCTCTCTCTCTCTCTCTCTCTCTCTCTGTGTGTGTGTGTGTGTGTGTGTGTGTGTGTCTTCTCTCTCCTCTCCTCTTCTCTCTCGCTGTCTTTCTCTTTGTGTCTCTGTCTCTGTCTCTCTCTGTCATCTCTCTCCTTTCCTCTTTCTGTCTCTCTGTCTGTCTCTCTCTGTCTCTGTCTCCTCTCACCTCTTCTCTTCTATCTCTCTGTCTCTCTCTGTTTCTCTGTCTGTCTGTCTCTATATCTGTCTGTCTGTCTCTGTGTGTGTCTCTGTGTGCCTCTTTGTCTCTGTCTCTCTCATCTTTCTCTGTCTGTCTCTGTGTCTGTCTCCTCTTCTTTTCTCTCTCTCTCTCTCCCCCCTCCTCTCCTCTTCCTCCTCTTCCTCCTCCTCCTCCTCCTTCTTTTTCTTCTTCTTTTTCTCTTCTTCTTCTTCTTCTCTCTCTGTCTGTCTCTTTCCTCCCTCTGTCTGTCCATCTCCCTTCTTCTCTGTGTCCTCTATATCTCTTACTATGTTCATCTTGATGTCTCTTCTCTCTGTCCTGTCTCTGTCCCTTTGCCTATGTTTCTTTGTGTCTCCATTCCTGTGGGTCTCTATCTTTCCTCCAGGAACGACTGAATGGGTGGGGAAAGGCGAGATGTGTCAATGGGAAGGTGTGGGGTTTGATGGGGTGAATGTCAGGAGGCCAAACAGACAAACTGAGGGATTGATTCACTGGCCAACTGTAGCCACAACCCAACCCTCTTCCTGTTCCTTCTTCCTTCCCCACATCTAGGGTTATCTCCCTACAGTTTTTTCTATGTGCTAAGTGAAAAACCCAGATTCTTCACCCCCTCCAAAACACACATACCCTACAGCCACAAGGACCCAGGCATCCTGAACTCCGAGCCTTGCCCCTCAGGGACTCAGATGTCCTGACACCCCCTCCTCCCAGGTCCTGTTCCAGCATCAGGATAAAGTTAGACCAGGGGAGTACAGGTCTGAAGGGACGATGGGCTTAGGCTCAGACCAAGGGATAAACACAGCCCTGTCACCTCTCTATGTGTATACATCTCTGTTTTTCTCTGTTTCTCATAAGTGTCTCATCTTTCTTTATGTCAATTTCTCTGTCTCGGTACTTCCCTGTCTCTCGGTTTCTCTGTCTCGGT